AGCGGCCGTGGTCGCAGAGGGCTGTCTGGCTGCAGCCCCCCTCTGGACTGGGGTGAGAGGACCCACACTAAGCCCCCTGTCCCGACGCTTCTTGGGTTTTGGGGGTGAGGCTAACATGGCCTGTCCTGGAGTGGGGCCTGTCCCTGGTGCTGAAATCTCTTGACTTTGCTCCATTGGGAGCCCTGGCTGGCTGGGCCACAGCCTGAAGCCACACCTGGCTTGGGCTTTCCTGATATTCTGAATCTTATGCTCCAGGCCTCCCAAGGCCAAATCTGTGACACCTGGCAGCAGACCCCATGAAGAGATGCCAAGGATTTGGTACCTCGGTCGTCTTGGTCTGTTTGGGCTACCACAGCAGAATGCCACGTCTGGGGACTTAAACAAGTTTATTTTCTCAGAGTTCTGAAGGCCAGACATCCAAGGTCAAGGTGCCAGCAGGGTCGGTTTCTGGCGAGAGTTCTCTTCCTGGTTGCAAGTGGCCACCTTGCCGTGTCCTCACGTGGCCTCTTCTATGTGCATGCAGAGAGAGATCTCTGGTATTTCTTCTTATAAAGACACTAATCCTGTCATATCCCTGTCCCACCCCAGTGACCTCATTTGACACAATTCAGTGCACAGCATTGGGTGTCGAGGGCTTCGCCTTCAGTGTGGACCCATTCTCTCACACTCTTGGTCCCCAAGTGCACACTCAGGCGCACCCCATGTCACCTGTTCCCACTTGTAGAGTGTCAGTTTCCTTCCAGCAGGACGAGCTGGGCCGGTGTTCTGGGGCTACTGGGCCTTTCCCATCACGGTGCCACCGTATAGCTGTAGCCAGCTGTCAGCTTGTTTCTTACAAGCTGTGTGACCTTGTAGGTCTCTGCCTCCTGGCACCTCATATTCTCGTCCCTAGGATGGGCATAGCGGTTCTTGCCTCCTTGGCTCATTTACTCCATCAGCACGTACTTAGTGACTACCACCTGCACGCCGGGCACCTTGCGCTGGGGATATATGTAGGGAACACAAACTGTGTGGCTCTGCCCGCAGAGAGAGGATGAAATCAAATCACAGACTCCGAGCCCCAGGTAAGGCTCAGGGTAATGTAATCACGATTTACCATTCTAACAATAACGAGCACTTTTATTATTTTCACTAACTACAATCAATGAGGAGAGGAACTAGGACTTATCCCAAATGGTCAGGAAGCGTCCTTGGTGACAAAGACACGCATCCAAGGCCTGCAGTTGGGGGCGTGAGTGGACAGACCCATAAGGAGGGGACTTCCCCAAACATTTCCTACAAGATTTCTCAGGGACCGCCATTCCTAAACCGTTACTTTGATCTTAAAGCCGGCGTTCTGTATGACCTTACGCAGAGGAGACCAGGGTTCGATGTGTGCGCAGTGCGTTCTGATACTCACTCGTTTTGTCGTTGGCATCGGAAGTCGTGTTCGGAGCGGCAGATGTGAGGCGCTGCCCTCTCACCGCCACGCCGATTGTTCACTGTTCTGAGAAGGTCACATCATAATTCATTAGCAATAATTAGTCCCCCGGCACCCCCTGCACTTCTTCACGCAACGGCTCCATTAACTCGGGTGTGAATCACACGCTCCGGGCGCCAATCGATGAAGATCTGTCCACAGTATACAAGGGGATGCTATTAGTCACAATAATTAACTGCCTAATTAAAAATACGAAAGCTGTCTTTATGAAGGGCAATTAACCACTAAGCCTAATTGATAATTCATAACCCTCTGATTAGGAAAGACAAATACGAAGAAAGGACTGACCCACCTGGGCCGTTGATTAAGACGTTGTCAGCCTCTGGGTCTGCGTTCTGTTGTCAGTGGATCTGCAGACTTCTTCCCAAGTCACACCTGTTGGCCCATGGGAACGTGGGAATCGGTGTTCTCACCGCTGAGTCCTGTCTGTTTCTGTGGAGGCCCGTGGGGGCGGGGGGCTGCAGGTCTGGGACTCCCTCAGGGAAGTGGCAGGTGTGATCGGGTGGCCATAAGGAAGGGTACCTCTCAACAGCCATCAGTCACTGGACTTGACACCAGTCAGTCATTCAGCAAATGCTAATCAGGGGCCCGCTGTGCGCCAAGCCCTGTGTGAGGCACTGGGGATGCTGAGGAGAGCGGAACAGATCCCCTTCCTGACCTCACAGAGCACGTAGGTGACAGGACAAGCAGGCACACCTCAGCTTGGCCCCTCAGCCTTCTCTCTTTTGGGGGAAATATGGTTCCAGACATAATTAGGCATACGTAGCTCAGATGCAAAATGTGAGTGCTAATTATTGTGGAAAGGCACAGAGAAATTGCTAGAAATGATCGGAGGTGACCTTTAGCCAGGGGATGGTGTGGTGGAGGGGAGGTGGTGCGTGGGTTTCTGAAGGTGAAAGAATCGACACTTGTGGGGGGCAGTGTGTCCCAGTTGAGGGAGTGGGGACATGTCCCAGGCCCAGGGAGTATGACACGTCTCAGGGGAAAGAGAGGCATGGGCAAAGGCCAGGTGGAACCTGGGGGCGTCTCAGGTGCGCCAAGCTGAGGGAGGACGAAAATGAGCTCAGGGCCCCTGGAAAGGCTCTGCTCCAGCTCAGAAAGCCCAGTCCGAACACTCGGGGGTCAGTCAAGGCCCACCTCAGGGACCTCAGTGACCCGATTGTCCTTGGAGAAGCATCCACCTAGGCCCCTCCCCAGGAGGCCACATGCTGTACGTGGTAACGGCACCCTCTACCTGTCCTTCCCGCCTGCAGACTGAAGCAGTCCCGGCTGAAGGTGCGGTTCTGCACCAACGAGTCACAGAAGTCCCGGGGACACCTGGTGGGGCTGCTCCGGCATCTGGGCTACGACATCTCTGAGGGCGAGGTGACCGCCCCGGCCCCGGCCGCCTGCCTGATCCTGAGGGAGCGAGGCCTTCGGCCACACCTGCTTGTCCACGACGGTAGGTCTGCCGGGCCCTGGGCCCTGGTGGGTGAAGGCGCCCCCTTTCAGGGTAGGGGTTGGGGAGGACATCCCTCTCACCTGGGCCAAACCACTGGGAAGGACACAGAGGTAACACCTGGGTCTGCTGCCATCGCTCATGGGCATGTGGGTGGGAACCCAATGGGTCCCATCCATCCCTGGCCTCATACCAGAGGGTCCCTAAAAGGGCAGGGAATGTCAAGGGGGCAAAATTGTAGCTTCTGCTGGGCGGGAGTGGGGGCGGGGGGAGAGGATGATGGGGCGGAATGAAGCCTGTGCGTTTCTAATGTCTGGCCCATAGCCTGAACTATATTTGTGAAAACCAGTCCCGCTTTGGCAAATGGCACAAGGTTTACGTCCAGACATTAGTCTGGATACAGGAAAAGAGCTACTTTGACCCCCAGGAGGCAGGAACAGAAATGTCTTGTGCCTTCTGAATATTTAAAAAGCAGAGACATAAGCAGAGCTTCAGAATTCAGAACGTTTCTCTGTCATTGCACTGAGTCTTCTTCCTTCCTTCCTCTGCACTCGATATTTTTATTTATAAACCACTGGCAGAAGCGGGCATGGTTTTCTGCATTCTGGAAGGTGCGGGGGCTCCCAGAGGTGGCAGTGCTCCCTGAAAGGCCCAAGCGTCAAATCCATAACTTTGGTGCCATTTGATTGTGACACGCCTGGCCTTCAGAAAACGTGTTTTTCGGAATCCTTCCTCTGTGACCTAGGATCCCTGCCAGTGTCCCTAGAACAGGTCCCCAAAGAAACAGAAAGACTTAGGAGAGAAAATCTCCCTTCCCAAGGCGAAGGGAGGAGCGGGTCGAGCAGGCCGAGAGGAGAGGAAATTCAGCATGCATTCACCCCTGAGTCAGACGAGGCGGCGGCAGCCGTGAACCCGCGCCCATGTTTTCAGACTTCGAATCTTTTTTCAGGTTTAACTGTTGATGAATTTTCTCCCCAAACATTTTATTCTGGAAAATTTCAAACATAACAGCAAAGCCGAAAGAATATTTGTATGCCCATCCCCTTGATTTTACCAATGACATTTTACCCTTTTCTGCATTATACATCCACCCATCCCTCCATCCATCAACCCATCCCTCTGATGGATTTCAAAATAATCTGCAGGTTTTGGTACACTTCAGCTCATCATTAACTAGAGATCAGTATCTGTTTACAGTGTTTTTGATATAAAATTTATGTTCAATGAAGTGCAAACACCTCAAGTGTGCTTTTGCTGAGTTTGGACAAGTGCATCCATCTGTGTAACCCAAAATCCTATCAAGATCCAGTGCTTTGTCCTCACCTGGAAGGTCCTTTCCATGCCCTTCCCAGTCAGTCCCCACCTCCCCTAGCGACACCGGCTATTTGAATTTTTTCCATTGTAAATAAGTTGGCCTTGGGTAGAGTGTCATATAAACAGAATCATACAACATCTAGTTGTGTTGGGGTCCCCACGACCACACTCAGGCTTGATGATTTGCTAGAAGGGACTCACAGGGCTCAGAAAAGCTGTCATACACGTGGTTACAGTTTATCACAGTGAAAGAAAAGATTAAACTCAGCAAAGGGCAGAGACGCCTGAGGGGACAAACCGCTGGAGAAGCCAGGCGTGACCTTCCAGTTGTCCCCTCCAACGAAGCTGCCCTGGAGTGTGCTTAATCCTCCCCACAGTGATGTGTGACAGTGCCTGCAAAGTGTCGTCACCCGGAGACGCTCACTGGGACCTCGTGTCCAGGGTTTTGATTAGAGTCAGTCAGGTAGATGTGCGGTGCCCACAAGGCTGACCAGCTCCTCCAGACGTCAAACTGAGTCAGCTTGGCCCGAGGACCTGGGCCTGCAAAGCCACTCCTTCCAGGGCTCAGCTGATCCCCTGACGCTGGTGGGGGGCCCGTCCTGAAGGCAACCTGCCTTCGGGATGGACAGGGTTTGAGCAGCCCAGCCTGCTGAGTCCACTTCCTTTCACAGTAGCCTTGGGTGGATGGGTCCTTTTGCCCAGCGTACTGTGTGTAAGACTGCCATATGCGGAGCGGTGTTCATCCAGCGAGCCCCCCACTGCCCATGGGTCCTTTTGCCCAGCGTACTGTGTGTAAGACTCAGCCATATGGTCAGGTGTCCCTTTGACCGCGGAGCAGTGTTCATCCAGCGAGCCCCCCACTGCCTGTGCTTAATCCTCCCCACAGTGATGTGTGACAGTGCCTGCAAAGTGTCGTCACCCGGAGACGCTCACTGGGACCTCGTGTCCAGGGTTTTGATTAGAGTCAGTCAGGTAGATGTGCGGTGCCCACAAGGCTGACCAGCTCCTCCAGACGTCAAACTGAGTCAGCTTGGCCCGAGGACCTGGGCCTGCAAAGCCACTCCTTCCAGGGCTCAGCTGATCCCCTGACGCTGGTGGGGGGCCCGTCCTGAAGGCAACCTGCCTTCGGGATGGACAGGGTTTGAGCAGCCCAGCCTGCTGAGTCCACTTCCTTTCACAGTAGCCTTGGGTGGATGGGTCCTTTTGCCCAGCGTACTGTGTGTAAGACTCAGCCATATGGTCAGGTGTCCCTTTGACCGCGGAGCAGTGTTCATCCAGCGAGCCCCCCACTGCCTGTTCGCCCAGCCCCTGCTGGCCGACACCTGGGCGGTGTCCAGCGAACCCCCCATGGCCTGTTCGCCCAGCCCAGCTCCTGCTGGCGGACACCTGGACGGTGTCCAGCTTTAGGCTCTTGGGGATAACTCTGCAGCGAACGTTCCCGTGCAGACTGTTCAGTAAACACCTAGGGGTGGAGTTGCTGGGTTGCAGGGCAGGCGCGTGTGCGATCTGCAGACCGCCAGCCCTTCCCGAGGAGCGGCGCCCTTCCACGTCCCTCCAGGGGTGGCCGCGGTCCCACGTGCTCACCAGCGCTTGTTAGTGTCAGCTTTTTGATTCTCGCCATTCTCCTGGGTATGAAGTTGTGTCTCTTTCTGGTTACTTCATTTTTTTTTCAATCCAGAAAGGTCAACATCCAATATGTAGATGAGAGTATGTTTCTTCCTAGGAACTGAAAATATGAGGCCAACAACTTGATTTATCCTCGCAACTTTTCCCTCTTTTCACATGAAATGGGGGAGGGCAGAGGAGAAGGAGGAAGAGACTTTTCTGAGGGGGCTGGTGAACTGGGCTGGTGGGGACGCAACTCTGCCCCTGCTTAGGATGTACGTGTGTCCTTGCTGTCCCGTCTCCGGGGGCGTTGGCCGAAATGTGTCGGTGGTTCTTACAGTTTGGGGCCAGCAGTGCCAGCCCTATAAAGGTTGCAAGCAGCCTTGTTTCATCCAACATCTAGGAATCTTGTCCTCCAGGCAGATCTCCCTTCTTAGTTGCAAAGCTGTGGGTTTCCTGCCTGTGGCATTGAACTAAGGGCGCTTCGGGGTCATGCTGGTGTTAGGGTGGATCAGTCTTTCTCCTAACTAGCTCTCTAACAGTGGGGAGCTGGAGTTCCTTCACCTATGAAGCGAGAATCACACCCCTTCCTTGCCCACCCCCCATGGCACATGTGGGGACCAGAAGGGGACAGATGTGGTACACAGAAGGTATCCGGGAGACGGGAGGGAGGCATGTCACCCTTGGCTTTATCCTTTCTCTCTCTCCTTCCAGGAGTCCGCTCAGAATTTGCTCAGGTTGACACGTCCAACCCAAACTGTGTCGTAATTGCAGATGCAGGAGAAGATTTTTCTTATCAAAACATGAATAAAGCCTTCCAGGTGCTCATGGAGCTGGAAAACCCTGTGCTCATATCACTGGGAAGAGGGTGAGTCGGCTCCAGGGAGAGTCATTTCTGGCTGCTTTGCGATGCTCTGTGGGTCTCTGACTTGCAGAGCCAAGTAGAGAAGGATGCAGAAAAGTGGGCGGGGGGCGGGCACAGGGCGACTTCCTTTTCCCTCTCCCCCTTTTCTTGCCTTTCATTTCTTCCTTTCTTTTAATACTTTTTGAGGTGATTAGAATCCGCAGGAGCTGGTTGGTCAAACTTCCCTGTGGGCCCTGGGCTGGGAGAGACCGGGTCAGGGGACGGTCGTTGCAGACAGAGACCCTCTTGGAGATCTCAGGCGGGAAGTGTCGATTGTCCCAAGTTTAGAGCAAAGGGGGGGAAGGTGCATCCACACAGGACACAGCACAAGGCGTTGAGGGATTGCGCGAAGGGGACACCTAAGTAGGGAAAATAGGCTTGAGGCCTGTGGGATGCTCGGGCCCGTGCCCACCCCTCTGGGCGCAGAGCGTGGTCTCTGTCAAGTGATTTCGTGACCGTTTTTCTCTGAGTCTGTAGCATGGACCTCGCCATCTCTTTCTTCAAAAAAACCTGTTGGTTATTTTTCTTAACGTCTTTTACCACCATTGAAGAAAAATTAGAGAATACAGATGAGAAAAAGAAGAAAATGAAAAGTATTTTCAGTTCCGTGGCACAAGGAAGACAGCCGTCAGCATTTTGTGTGTCTTTCCCAGTGGTTTCCTGTACAGATAGATGATCACAAATGGATATATTCACATCGGCATTGAACTTGACCTAGTTTTGTCGCCCGGTTTTTATTGTTTACTAAATGTTTTGTGCGCGAC